CTTGAACGAACAACAAAAAAAAGATGTTCCAGATAAGTATTAATAATTAAGTAATTATTTAATAGTTTTCCATTTTTACCACCTGATATATAATTTATAGCCTTTTTGAAATTTTAATACGTGATTTTTTATATAAAAAACTCCAATCACATGCGAATGCGTGAAGTGCCGAAAAAATAGATTTCCAGCTTTCGGATCATTTAATGAGAAACATGATTTATTTATTTCCAGTATTTCAAACCACATTCATTCACGTTTGCATTATCTACATTTAGATATACCAAATTCAGTTACAATAAAGAAATGTGCATATTGTTTAGAAAAAAAAACAAAGACCATTTATCCTTGTGCCACACATTGTAAAAAATACTTGACTATTCTAGTAAAGTCTAGTTGCCTATTATTGCCTACTATTGCCTACTATTGCCTACTATAACAAAGAAGTCCGATTAAACAATCAACACTGCGTAAAATAGAAGTAATGAAATGTTAATAGAATATAAAAATCTTTATTAATTTATGAAATAATACTACATTAAAGAATTACATAAGAATGTTCTAAATGTAGAACTACAATCAGTTTTCTTTAAGTACTCCCACGCCAAAGCCTCTATTTTGAATGTCTCTAATTAATCAATTTAAAAAAATATATACGGTATATATATCTCTCTTGCTACAGAAATTCCCGATTTATACACTTTGAACAGCACACCAAAATAAAGCCCAGGTTTTTGATAATCCTTCATCCAGAGGAGCATTAGTTTTATTTGCATTTGCAAAGTAGTCGGAACCTGCTTTGGGATCGACAATTGCATGATTCATTTCAATTAAAGATTGAAAATTACTTGTCAAGCCACCAACTATGGGTGCGAGTATTTGGTTCCATTCTTCGTTAATCTATTTTTTTTTTTTTTTAAAAAAAAAAGATCGTTAGAAGAATAACGAATTATAAGCATTTGAAACATGAGGATACAATATTTGAAACTCACGAATTTCTTTGAACGGATATATGGCATAATTGGAGTCACGGGTATCATTTGGATTCCATGAATAGCGTCTTAAAAAGAGATTTTGTTCGTTATTACCTTTCTTATTCAAAATAATCAAAGTTACCGCTCTCCGATATGTTTAGTTACCTGTTGTGTTGCTGAAGAAGGTAGTATGATCGGCTTTATTCTCGAATAAAATCCCTGTAACTTTATTCTTAATAAATTTTTTAGGTTGAACAACATTATCATCTTCCATTAAGAAATAAGTACTCATGCTTCTAGCTTCAACGGCTAACATCACATCAGCTAACTGTTCAGTATGTGGCCTTTTGGAAACTTGACCCCATAATTTCATTCCATAAACAAAATTATAATCTTCACTTGTTGACTCTTCGTTATTACCATCTCCCGAAGCAATAATACCACTCGCCCATGAATGTCCCGAAAACCAATCAAAATTACGGAATGTTGGAAAAAATGTATCGTCTGCTGATGGATTGGATACGTCTCTTATCAAGGATTCCACCCACTCCCCATTTTGTGCACCCCATGCTTCGTCCAAGTGACGAAGAATTGCTGCGGTGTAAACGAAATATCCGTAATGAAAGTGATGATCACTAAAAATGATGATGATAATTAGTTGATGTTATGGTGCGGTAAAATGATTTTTCGTAGTTTTAATTTTAAAGATCACAGTACTTATAGAAAGCAGCACCAAAATCTGCGCCTTGATCATCTCGATCGATGCTGATTCCTTTCCATGAGCTATCGTACCGAAAAGGAACTATTTGTGTATTTGTCACAAAGGATTGCATAGCATTCTACAAAAAAAAAAAAAAAAAGGTTGGCCCTTGTTTTACAAACATTTGTTTCAACCTTTTTTCGCAAAATGATCTCACATACCTTTAATTGATCAATGCAAGTTGTCGACAATGCTTCATCTACGATAACATCGTTCGCTATCAAACAAACTAGGGCAAATTTAGCCATCACTTTTCCACTAAAATACGTGCTCTCCAAATTCGAAAGTTTTGTGAAATCTTGAGCAATATCTAATTTAGCTTGCTCTGCGATCAATGCCTTTTGATCTCCGGTCAATAATGACTCAAAATTTGTTGGAAGGATTCCAATATTATTTAATTCTGGTTCAGTAAATGACCAAGAATTGCCACTAAATGCTATCATTTGTCCTTTGGACGGCGAAGTCAATGAAATTGATGTTGGGGTGGCTCCGGATGTAAGCGATGAAACGTGATGCGGTAATGCAAATTGCAATAATGACTTCGATGAGTCACCGGCAATTTTCCAATTAAAGGTATATGAACCGACTTTTCTAATAAAACGTTGGTGTATGTATGCAAAAGAAATTTTAACACAAAAATTTTGTATGCGATAACCGAAAACAAAAAGAAAATTGAAACCAACCCGTCGTTTTCCACGTCTAAATCAACGCCCGTGGCATAAGTTCCAGAACTGTTGCTGTAAATACCTATAGCTTCGTCGTTACCCTTTGGTACTTTGGCGATTTGAATGGTACCGGAAAATGGTCCCGAGTCACATACGATTTTCCCATCCGTCAATGTCAATACTAATTCGGGACTTCCACCGGCATAAATAAGCCAAGTTGACCCATCATTCAATCCAACAGTAAATTGTTGAAGTGATCCAACCTTAACTGGACTGGATATTGATGTAAATCCTACTCCCGTTAAGAATAATGGCGTCAAATTTTCATAGATGGCAGTTACGAAGGCCATACCACGAACTATTGGCATGGTGATCTTTTGGGTAGCGGAAAATGATAAAGTAGCTACGATCGAAAAATCAGTAGGATCCGAGAGAAGTAGGTCTGGTAATTTCGGTAATTCATTTGCAGAGATCGCAATGCTCGGTGTGTATACGCTGAAAAAAAATTGAACGGGGTCGGCATTTGGATCGGGTCCCAAGGTCTAAAATATCACGGAAGCATGAAGGTTAAAAAAATTAAAAGGTAAAATGCGCGGGAAAAGGTGCATAATGATGGCATGAAATGATACCTTTTGATATTCGTCAACATTACTAATACTGAAACCATTCAAAGCACCATCTGGATTGGATTCAAATCTTAATGCATAAGGTAAAGGAAAAACGGGATTTGGATTAAGGTTGGTATCTACTAATAAATTTGTATAAAATTTATTCGTTGGAATTGGTTTATTTGATTTGGCAAATTCCGGGTCTAATCGTCGTGGTGGTTGCGGATGTGGTTTTGATATAAAAAAATGATGGTGGTGAAAAATGGAAAACTATTAAATAATTACTTAATTATTAATACTTATCTGGAACATCTTTTTTTTGTTGTTCGTTCAAG